AATTATTATTTTTTAATTTAAAGTTAAAAGTAGATAAATATAAAAATTCAGTCATGCATATAAAATGTAAAAACTAGTTAAATTAGTTATATTTATATTATAATTTAAAAATTGAATTGAACAAATATTAAAAAATATGTTGAACCAAAGATATATTAATCGTTTTACATACGCGAATTGAGCACTCATTTTCTATTAGCGCACTTGTGGCTTTTATATTTCTTTGTCTATATGAAGCTTATTATCATAGATTTGCTTAATGTATATTATATTTATTTATTAATGAATCTATGGTTATTTGATAAAAAAATCATTATTTTCTGTTACCAAACTTACATTAACCAAAAATTAATGTATAAGCAACCCCAAACACACGATAAAGGGGCGGTTGGTTTGCAGAAATGACTTGGTAACAGGCTTTTGTCCCTTAAAAGAAGTCATGACTGACTGTATGCAAAGACCAGAGATACATGGCCTCCCTTTGGGGTCTGCCATAGGCAACTCTAAAAGTCTAACTGCAATCAAAAGAAATTTCCTCGAAATAGTCCCTTGAAAAAGTTTAGTCATCGCGTTTAAGTAGAACGCATGGTGTTAATCAGAAGAAAAGATGTATGGATGTTTAATTTACACTTGTCTCTTAGAAATACCATACCATATTATATAATATATAGTAAATCAATGATAATTAAAAAATAAAACTACTTAATAAAAGATATTTATAAAAATAAATGTTTTTAATCGTCATCTATTTGTCATTGTATAATTAAAAATTTTAGGTAAGATTTATGTTAAATTTAAATTAGAATAATTAAAAAAAGACTTATGTAAAATTCAAATTAGAATAAATAAAAAAAACGAGAGAATAATAATTTCAACACTTTTCCGGTGATAAATTCCTGCATATAATCGGGTCACTAGCGAGCTTTATGGAAGCTTCCCTTTTCCTTCGTAGCTGATATTTTCTTCATGGAAATTGTAAGGACAGGTCCGAGGTGCCATGCCTCGGATTGCTACAGTAACTCCTCTATGACCGAGGTGGGAAATAAACCTAAAACCTCCCTCTCAAATAGATGCATGACAGTAACAATAAGCATGCCCGCACTTGATTCCTTGTGATGAATCGCATAGCAAGTATGGTGGACGCTTGCGCATCTGAATACCTCTCAAATTCCCGGTCCCGGAATAATCGTCTGGATGAACACGTCAGGCTCCGATTATCTTGCTTGGCATGCCACGTGGGTTCCTCATTGAATC